TTACTCTTTTTTCTGTTTTTGATATATGTATAGCGCCGCAAAAAGGCACCCACTGAAAATCAGTGTCTTGGCAGTCACACTGTCAAGATATTACTGAGTGGGTGACCTTTTTTGGCAACTTAGTAATTTATTTTTTTATGTAATGTCTTTATTGCCTGAATCTGTGGTTGTCAAAATAAAATTATTTTCTTTCTTTCTTTCTTTCTTTCTTTCTTATCTATCTATATAAATAAAAATGAATTGCTGTTCGTTAGTCTGATTAAAACTCGAGAACGGCTGGGCCGATTGAGCTGATTTTGGTTTTAAAATGTTTTTCGTAGTCCAGGGTAGGTCTAAACGGTAAGCAAATAAGGAAAAATTGCGATGGCTTATTTATTGCCTTTAAGGCGGAACAGAGTTCGCGGGGTCAGCTAGTAATAAATAAAAAATATTTTAAATATAGTTTGATAAAGTTATAGACGCTTCTCTTCGAGTGACGTCATATCGCCAGATCACCAGCGGCAAACTTAAAGCGAACGGATAGTAATTTAATTTTAATGTTATATTAAAACTCATTCATTTTTGCAAGTAGGCTTTTTAAGTTTGTTTTTAACAGACTTCAAAAAAGGAGGAGGTTCGGTTCGGCTGTACTTATCTTTTTTATGTACTCTTATGTTCTTAATAATATTTGGGACGTGTTTAAGTGCCCTGGAAAGGACCTATGTACTGAATAAACTATTTGAATTTGAATTTTAGTTCTCCGATTACTTCATTGTGGACCGATTTTCAAATTCTTTTTTTGTTCGATAGGGTGGGTGTATATGCGCATGATTTATTTATTGTATAATTATGTACTATCTACTATCATAAATTGTTCTTTCTCACAACAGGTGTTGGAGTCTAATCAAGACGCGACTACTCGAATACCGACCACTAAGGACAACTAGTACAACAAATGGCAGCAATAGACAGTTACACAATCAGAAAACAGCTTGAAACTACTCAATAGAAACTATTTTTTGTAAATTATTACTATAACAATTGTACTGAATTTGTACTGAACTTCATGAATAAAATATAACCAAGTCAATTTTTGTTTTATTTATTTTATTTTTTCTTCGTTCCTACGCTACGTGTCCACCAGAATGTGCTAGGAAGACGAGTGGAGCGAGGGTGTTAGCGAGCGCACTGTCCTGAGGGTTTAAGGTTCGGCCAAACCAACGCGGTCACACGCGACCAAACTTAAATGCTTTGATCGCCATCGCTGCACGCGGCTACTGATCGCGTGCGATCGCGTTGGTTTGGCCGAACCTTTAGTGTGCGTTTACATCGAACGTCCTCCTCACTAGTGAGCGCGTAAAAATGACATTAAATGTATGACGGATTGTACAGCGCCCCTAGCGGAAACTTTCAAGAACCTAATTTTTTATATTTTTTAACGGGCTCACTGTGAGTACGTTTGATGTAAACTCACACTCAGCCCTTTGTAATATTACACACTGGACTGGCTGCTGTCATCAGGCAGATACGATTGTCCATGGAGCTAAAATTAGTGATATGAAAAGTCGTTTACTCCTTTTTCTCTAGCGATTATTACAAAACATACATTTCCTCATGCTAAACTTAAATAATTAAATATGAAATCTCACATTATACCTACAACAAAATAAAATTATATTACTCAAAAACCACGGTAGCCACTTGCAATGTATGTCAAAATTAGTTTTCGGAAAAATCGTAGTGGCGCTTCAAATTACCACCAGAGTAAATACAAATGAGTAGGTCATCTTCATAGAAACGCCCGAGCGCGGTTTGTAGGTATATGAGCACGCCCGCACACACGGACAAAATTTAGCGTGGATTAGCGGGGGTAGGTGTACGAGCTATCGTACAAACGTATTCACTTTTCATATAGCTAGTTATTGCTAAGTAAGCGTTTGCGCGGTTGACCCAAATTAGCGTCGACGCATTGAATACTTTATAGCAATAAATCAGTGTATTTTTAACAGTCACTCAAACTGGTCGTTTTCATTCCACCTCTCTCCCGACCCTTCAGCATCACTCACATCCTCATAGCATAGCATCCTTACCCTAGCATTCTTTAATGTAGGAGTTACGCCCCACAGTAGGTGCGCTGAATTTTGTCAGTGTGTGCGTGCGCGCCGCATACGTATTGGCGCGCGCTCACATACAAACCGCGCTCGGTGCGTTTCTATGAAGATGACCTACTCATTTGTATTTACTCTGTTACCACTCAAAATTAGCTTTCATTTGTATGGAGACAACCTGTCTAGTGTGTACTAAAGATCATAGGATAGGATAGCAGACAACAATCAACTCGGAAAGCGATCAACACTGTATCGCATTTAGCGAGCTGTCATCGCCTTTCGCGCGCTGTTAAGCGCGAGGCGAGGCGTTAACGTTAAAGTACGGTTGCGGATAAGTGTGCGTTTGGCGTTTCATACAAAGAATACTGACCGCCTCGAGTTGATACGGTTGCGTTGCGATCCGCTTCCGGGTTGATAAATGTTCTACCGCCTCAATACAGTCATCATAACCAAAACTGGAAAAAACCCAACGAAACGGAAAAATGGTCTACGTGGCCAAAGCTACTTGACCAGATACAATAAAACACAACATAATCACGGCAAGTTGTTTATTAATTTTATCAGTCCTTACACTAATATTTCGTTTGGCAGCGCGGCGACTGATTTGACAAAAAACGATTTTATCGCGTTGACATTAAAGCGTATAATTGAACGTCGCGCACCTGCCCTGTCTTATATACCACCTCAATTCTGCTGATGGAACTGTTTGGAACGTTCGTCGACTTTCAGAGAATTGCTACTTGAAGCAAAATCAACAATAAACTGTAATTCTTTTGTTGGCAAATAAAATACTTTTGCTTTTACTTTACTAATTTATTTCATATCGATAGACGGCATTAAAGTCAAACGATCTGAAACGCCAAGTGGCAAAAATCGGAACTAATAACCCAGTATTGGTAGTTGCGCCCTCCTGTAAAAGTCATATCTGGGACACCAGCCCCCCTAGACAAAACGCACTTTTTGATCGAATCGAAAATCGAATCCGTTAAAACTCCATACAAAAAAGGGGCTTTTCGACCACTTTTCGACTGGTTACTGCGATTATAATTTGCACTTTATCTAGACCCACAGGGTTGTACAACTAAGTATCGATAGTAGTTTGCTCTGCCTGTTGTTAAAATGCAATAGTGACATTTTGATAGTACAGATTATAAATACTAAGTATGTCAATAGAATGTCTGTGCCTGTAGATAAAGTAGGTAATTGTGACAGAATCAATTAAATTTTTTTATGGTACAGGACTGGGGGCCGACGCGGCAATCTCGTCATTTAACGAAATAAATTCAGAACTAATTTAACCAAAACTGTGCTTTGCCTCGAAAGTAAACAATGATACTATGTAATTAATTACACAGCTGGAATCGTGACGTGAGTATACTTACAAAAGAATAATTTGTGAATATTTGAACTGCAACTTTTCTTATTGAATCATGAATCCCAATTTTGATTGTAACAAAGGCTCTGTAAGTCGGCGAATATTATACATTTGAAACTCACAATTTCGAATAAAATACTTAAATTATATTTACAATTTCAAGAATACATCATGTATTTTATTTCTTATTTTAACATAACCTAATCTATCACATATACATGGTTTTTGTAATAGTAAGGATGCAAATAAATGTACACAACGATTTCATAGAATATCACACGAGTTTGGACTGTCATTCCGAGAGCAATAACAACATTTTCACAAAAACTATACACGAAACATTAAAATCAGTACCTCTCAGTACCTAGTCGGTAAAATAAAACTTCATGGCTCGAATATAAAAATAAAAAATTGTTAAAAATAATCTCAAATTGAGATGGTATATCACCAAATCTCAAATTATGTAGATCCTACTTTTTGGCGGCGTTTTAACGAAAAATAAATAAAATAGGTACTATCTTTTTACCTATAAATGAATATTTACGAAAATATGTAGAGTTGCTCTTGACCATCCAGAGTTGTTTTTGGACCAGGTTGGTTGTACGAATTTTTAGAAACTTATCAATTTTACTTTTTAATCAAAACACCGCCAAAACTCCGTCGATTTTATAGAAAATGCTAAGTTAAATGAAAGCGCAAGTCTTGTGTAAATAAATAAACTTATTTCGCAGAAGACTCCCTCTTTCCAGAACACGAGTCGCGGGTCAACGTCAACTCCGACATTTTGACGCGACAAGATGGCGGGAAGCGGCCATTTTGTTTTACGTAAGCAGGGATGGGTACGGCGATATCGATAATTTTAAACGAATTTAATCAGAAATAATTGGTTCGTGCAAATCAAGTTATATTAGTCGCACGCTGTAAAATACAGATCATAGCACCTCACTGTAGGTTTTTGTTATAAAATCGAGATAAGAAATTTAGATTGACATGCAAATAACTGTTATTATAACTGCTAATGCCAAAAAAAATCTTTCACTTTCGACTGCTTGATCCAAAACGATCATGCAAACGAAAATTAAAAAAAAAACGTGTCCGTATTAAATTAAATTACTTGCAAATTTTTTGCGTATGATATCGATAGTCACCGGGCACAACACTATTTTGTACAGTTGTCAATTTATGCGCTCCGCTGCTACTGAGCCCGGGACAAAACTGTTTACCTCAAAAGTAAACCCATCGCGATCAATATGGCAGTCTGTGTATCCGTGACAAGATAGGGACAGCCGTCAGCGATGAGCGCCGCCATCTTGTTTTACGCACACCCGGAAGGTACAGATGACAGAACATCAAGCTTACTAAAAAACAGTGGCATTTCATCCCGTCGTAAAACAGTCTATTTTGAGACAGAAATTAGCCTGATGCGCTGTCAACTGTACATTCCCGCCACTGTGGGGCGTGCGCGGGGCGTTGCTCGCACTAGCGGCATCGGTACTTGCCTTCTGCTTCTGTCTTCTCACTAGCTTCCAGCGTTATTGGCATACGGACTTCCACGCAGGCTAAAAATGCTCAGTTAATGCTTCAAAACCCTCGCAGCGTTGGGCTTGTATTGGAATTTATGCGCGTCCATGCTTGCGACGCGCTTGGCTTGAGGCGAATACAAAAAGGATTTTATACGCGCGGGGAAACGCGAACTTGAAAGAGCCCGCGAACGCCCCGCGACGCCTCGCGCACGGCCCGCGAACGCCCCGCGCACGGCCCACGCACGGCCCGCGAACGCCCCGCGAACGCCCCGCCGGCTCAGGGCGCGGGCGCGCGGGGTCACTGGCTGTTGGCGAGCTCGTCCATGCGACACCTGCAACGCAATGTTGTCCATTAATGAGGAGCTGGCGAACGAATTGCCGATTTGTCCGATCAGGTTTTGATAGGAGGAGTAAAAATTTAAAACTAGTCATCCAAAAGCCAGACATGTTCTGTATAAGAAGGCAAACAAAAGATGTTTTGTAAACGGGATGGAAACGATAGGTGTTATCATTCGATTATTTTTAAACTATATTGTGGTATACAGGGTGTTAGGTAAATGGGTATATGAGCCGACACTAGCCTAGTAAGTTTGGTTTATTACACTATTTTGTAATCAAAAAATCCGTGGCCGTGGGCTCCACTGATTGTTCTGTTCATTTCCATAAATCAGCTAGTGGTGCAAAGAGGCAAAGCATGTTTGTAAGATGGGGATAGCGGTGCGGGTTGTACAATAACTAAATGTCGATGTATAACTTTACTGCATATCTGAATTGTACAATTGTTTGTTATCCTAAATAAAATAAAATAAAATAAAATAAAATAAAAAATAAGGTTTGGTCGATGGCCACGCGAAAAAAAAAAGACGCCACCTTCCATACAAGATCTGGCATTGCCATTTCTGACTTCACCATACCATTTATAAGCCCATGTAAACATGGGCTAGTGTCGGCTCATATACCCATTCACCTAACACCCTGTATGATGATGGCCGCTGGGGCAGAAACAGTGAATAACTGAAGGTGTGTGGAACGGCGCTGACCTGACGGCCATCTCGGCCACCTCCAGACTGGGGTAGTCCAGCTCCTTCACCAGGCACAGCACCGCAGACAACAGGTTCGAGTTCTGAAAAGATCACCTTAGCTCAAGAAAAATATTCGTTATTAAGGGCCCTCGCTCACGGCGAATTTTTGTAGTGATTACCAGTATGACAGACTACTAACGCACGTTAAAGCCTGGTCCGTGAGCACGTAGAATCGATCGAGCGAGCGCTCGCACCACACTCACTGCGGGCGCGCGTCGCACAGTCGCGACAGCAATATAATTACGCGCAAGCGATAAGGATGGGTAGATTGGGGTCATTGGACGGGATTCTACGTGCTCACGGACCAGACTTTAGTCGCATTTGCAACGCACTACAGAAGCGATGCAAACGCGCTACTAACGCGCTACAACAGCGCGACTGTATCGATGCAAACGCGACCGTGTCGGTCGACATCGGGGAGAGAACGGAGGAAGGGTTAGGCTTGATTTCCTCCTACGCTGACGTCGGTCGCGTACATCGGTCGAGCGTAATAAAACACAATGTTCTATGAAGCACCGCACTGCAACGGTCGTCAGCGGCAGATGCTTACATAGAACTAGTGAGTAATCGTGCGCGCCGCTGACGTCAGTCACCGATGTCAGCCTAAAAGGTAATCAAGCCTTACTGAATCGCGTTTGCATCGCGACAGAAGCGCGTTTATGTGGGCGAGGGCACACAGTTAGCGACCGCATTGCGACTGTATCTATGCGAACGCGCGACAGAATCGCTACTGCATCGCTACAAAACGTCGCCGTGGGCGAGGGGCCTAAAGGAGGGGAATGTCTGTCCCACAGCGAAATTATTCTGAAGAACATAGGAGGATTTTAAACTTTCGGATTTCTTTACAGTTAAAATTCATATTTAAATCATCTCGGGTCTAAAGTACATGAGCACAGCTGTATATTTCGGCTACTGGTCACAAGCAGGCTGCTGGCTCAGCCTGGCTGGTGTGTTATCCGATTTTAAAACATATTATGAGTTATTGTCCATTTTAAACATAGGAGTCTTTGCGTTATTATAGTGAAGGAGTCTGACCATGATGGCGGATGGGTAGTCCCAGTCCCGCTCGGCGCCTGCTGGGATACTCACCCTACGGGACTAATCCCACCTCTCGTTCCCACCGCTGCAACTAGGATAGCCAGGATCTACAGCTTGACCGCCAATAAGAACCCAACCAGTGAAGGTCAAGTTTGTCCCGGGGGAAGTTAACTGTCATTGGACCCGCAACGAAATTAATCAGAACAACATAGGAGTTCGAAGTTAATGTTCGCCTTCCCTCCGTTGCAAAGCGGTTGACAGGTGACAAAGAAAGGTTTCAGTGGCTTAATTCACGTATTTTGACAGTCAAGATCTTGCTGACGACGTTCAGAAGTCGTCCCATTGAAAAACAGTTTTAAATCCGTGTTCATGAGGGTCATTTCGATAGAACGATTACTCGATAGGGTAGATAACTCAGCGATTTGTTGTTGAAGTTTTGTTACGTGAATGAGGCTACAGGACGCGGTGCTCGGCCATGACGGCGGACGGGTGTCCCTGTCCCGCTCGCGCGCTGTCCCGTCCCGCTCGCGCGCCTGCGGGACACTCACCCTAGCGACGGGGCGGCGCGTGAACCCGCGATGCTCGGCCATGACGGCGGACGGGTAGTCTCTGTCCCGCTCTCGCGCGCTGTCCCTGTCCCGATCCCACTCCGAGCCCGGGCCCGGTCGCGTTGGCACCTGCTGGTACGACTCCGCCCTGGGACAAAAATAGGCCTATAAGGTTCTGCTTTCAAACAAATAACAACTTTTCTAAAGGACCAATATCATATTCTCAAAAAACTGTGTAACTGCGCCGTGACCCCCAGGGAGTCGCGACCCACAGGTTGAAAAACACTGATCTATTGTGTCTGGATTCGCGGAGCTTGAAGGATTAAGAATGTCATCACACCTGTCCGAGCGCTCGTAGCAGCCGTCACTGTAGTGCGGCGGCGAGGCGAGCGTGGGCGCGGCGCTGTAGCGGCACTCGCCGTTCGTCGAATACGCGTAGTCCTGCGATCGAACCACAATTTATTTATTTATTTATTTATTCATGAATAGAACGGTAGTACCAATTACACTATTCAAACAAAACGTAACAAAGCTCAGAATAACATTTAGGTAATTAAAAACAATTTAACTTAACTTAATTTAGGAAAAGTACATAAATCAGATGCGATTATTTTCACAGTAACCCAAACATTCTGCTAGTAACGTACTCCACCCCTCTGCAAATACGTCACATTTTGGGTTTTGGTCCAGGAAACGATTGAGAGCACTTAATGTACGTGGTATAAGTGATTTCGATCTTGAAACCGTACGACACGGAGGAACAGCAAACAATGCATGCCTTCGACCACGATAATAGTTGTTGGGTGCGAACAGCCTCAGTAATTGATTGAGTAAGCAATATTCTTGTCAAAACCTTACTTCTTTTTTAGAAGGTTAAAGAAAGCGGGAGAACCAAAATGACCATTATAGCCCGCAGAATTGCAGACTTAGAGCTAGTGAACGCCAGACCTAAGTCATTTTAAAAAACTGAAAGTTTGTCAGCGTATGCTCCCAATATAGGATAGAACGTTGATGAATCATGAAGATAGTTTAGACAGTACCAACTCCTTACCAGACAGTTTTTTTAGGATAGCTGCCAAAGCCACGATGACCTAAACTTCATGATCCACCAACATTCTAACCTATATTGGGAGCATACGCTGACAAACTTTCAGCTTTTATAAAATGACGTAGGTCTGGCGTTCACTAGCTCTTAGTCTATTGCTAAAATCACGTGGGAGTGGGCGGGGCAAATAGCTCGTAGAGATGATGGCTGTTGGGACAGAAAAGTGACCGATACGAAACGGGAGCACGCTCACCAAAGTATGGAAGACGCACGGCGAGGCTGGCTGAAGTGCGTGTTTATGTTACGGTCAAAGTGATAAATGTGAAAATTATGAATAATCGCCGGTTATTATGAATAATTACCGCATGATTTGGTTAATGTGATTAATATGAGGTCATTTATGTGTGTATAAAACTAAATAGGCGGCTTGGGGGGGGCCCAAGGGCCCCCCCCCGCCGCACCTTAACCTATTTTTCACTTTAAATCAAAACATTATGTTATAGGCATCATGGAAAAGTAATATTATGCAAGAAACATTTCAAACTCATTATGCCAAATTATATTAATATATGATATCAAAACGTTCAAAAGTTTGGCTGTACACGAGCACGTACACAAGAAGTTGTTCTCTTTTAAGAAATTTGTTAGTACTAAGGTTGAATTATTAAATAATCACTGTTAAAAATGTGATTAATTTATCACTTTTACCGCGACTGTCGGTAATTATTCATAATAACCGGTTATTATTAATAATTTTCAATTTATCACATTAACCGTAACATTTACACTATTTTCCTCGATCAATTTCACGTAGTGTAACTGCGCCAAAACTCTAGTTAAGCAATTACAGTGCGACGTCATACATAAATGAGAAGCATTTACATGTGTTGAATTTGTGAATTATGAAAGCTCAATTTGTTGTTGCATTTTGTGATAACGATTGGTATTTCAGGAAAGTCTAATCCAAATATCAAATAATTTGAATATCTACGAGTGAAACTCTTTTTAAAGAAGTATGAGCAAATCTCTGACTAAGGGGTAGCCGTAAAACCGGTTAACAATGTTCCTTTATATTAAAAATAATTGTTATTGAGAGCTTTTTTTGTTAATGGTTACTGTCTGTATATTTTGTCTATAAATTATATCGTAAACAATGTGTGTATACAGGATGTCCTAAAAAGAAAGTGCCAAACTTAAGACCCCTTATTACAAAAAAGTTAAACCCGGGACGAACACTGAGAAGAAAACAACATTTCCATACTAAATGCTTAAACAGAGTTCAACCAGAGTCTAACTTCTTGTAATAAGGGGAAGGAGATGAAAGACCACACTGTGGTCTGTGCCTGCCTACATACAAAAAAAATACTTTAGTAAAAGTATTACCATTTCAGGGATATTTTTTATGTTATTTTAAAATCCCCAATTTTAAGCCTATCTTTTGTTGCTCTATGTACAAATGGGCAAATATTTTTAAAGACGAATAAGACGAAGCAACAGCACCCAGCAACAAGAGAAAGGCTCAAAAATAAGGGATTTAAAAAAACGTTAAAAAAATCGTATTTGTAAAGGTGATATTTTAAAAAAAAACTATACATAGTCATCCATTGTCTATCATCTTAAGTTTGGCCCACTCTTTTTGGGACATCCTGTATGTGTGCACTGTGTACCTTGACGCTGTGTGCGGAGAGCGAGTGCCGCAGCGGCGCGTCGGGCGAGCGCGGCGCGCGCGCCTGCAACACGACACAGCCTCACAGACACCGAGTAAACACTCCTCAACTTTTTACAAAAACATCAGATCCTCCAACTACAGTCTGGTCTGCGAGCTCGTAGAATTTTGTCCAATGACCCCAAGCTACCCATCCTTATCGCTCGCGCGTAATTATATTGCTGTCGCGACTCTGCGACGGGCGCCCGCAGTGAGACCGCGACAGCAACATAATTACGCGCGAGTGGTAGCTTGGGGTCATTGGACGAAATTCTACGTGCTCGGCGACCGGACTTTAGCAATAAAATTTGCAGAAGTTGACTTGGGGAAGCTGTCACCGCCGTGTAAATTTTGAAGAAGTTGGCTTGCCACAGTGGTAAACAGCTCGCGGAAATCAACTTCTGCAAGTTTTATTACTACTCTAAACCTCGCTTAAGGTTCCTATTAAAGAAAAAAGAATTGATAGTCCTGAACGGAAGTTTATAATAGAAAAAAAGTCACAGATTTAAACTAGACTCAGCCTTAAAGCATTCGGTGAGTGATTGTTAGCAGAACAATTTCTAATGAACAAAATTAAAAAAAAAATGTATCATGAGATCAAATGCGAAGTTTGAGGTACAATTGATAATAGGTTTAGTTACAATTCTAACGCTTCTAATTTTACTGTGAATCGGCTAGATTCTATTCTATTCTTCATCTACACAAGGGGGTGGTTCCATAAATACTTTTGCTTGCAATTTTTTTTTTTCAACAAAAGGGATTAATTCTACTACTCAAATATAACAACTTTTTCTATAAGACCGTATCAAATAGTAAAAAAATGACATCCACAAACTTAATGACTAATTGCTGATGAGAATTTGAGTAGTAGAATACATCTTTTTTGTTTCATCAACTATAGCAACGCCCTGTATTTATGCACTCACCTCGTACTGCGATCGCGTCATGGCCGGGTACTCGTACCGCTCGTCAGGCTCGGGCGAGACTCGTCTCGTGGGCGACAGAGGGCACTGAAAGAAAGAAAGAAAGAAAGAAAGAAAAAATATTTATTTGGTATTTATTCACTGCGGGCGACAACGCTCGTTTACAGATCATAAAAGATATACAGGGTGTCCCAAAGTAGCACGTCAACTTAGACTGGAGCCTAAGACGCATCAAATATGTCTAATTTGTACATTCAAAAAAAAAATATTAAAATTGGCCAAATCTCATAAACTATGAAACCATGACATAGATTTTAAAACTATGACATATTCGACGATGGAACTTTTTGTTCAATGACCATCTACCTCTTGTGTCAGTGTGACGTGCTAATTTTAGGACAGCCTGTGTATGTCATAAAAAGTAATTTATTTTTTACAATTACACGTCACAATTAAATTCTATCACTGCTGCGCACAGTGTTTTATTTTGGCTTAGAAGCGGACATCCCTGTTTTATTAATTCAATCGTTAGATATTACTATTATGTATACAATTGATGAAGGAACTAGTAGTTGTATTTGTTTAGTTTCGAAGAAATATTCGATTTTGTGATTTTATAAAAAAAACTGTTTTAGAAGCATATTTTCTAAAAAAATTACATTAAGTCAGAATTTTGTAAATAAATTTACCTATCACTATAACGTCTACCTTTATGTAAAAATAAATGGTTATTGCTGCAGTAATTTAGGAATTATTTAATAATTTATGATTTTCAGAAAACATTTTTTTCTCTGTTGTCCTAGAAAAATGGCAGCTAGACTTACTTTATATTGATGCATGATATAATTATCTATAATACCTGAAAATATTACTTGCCTATCCCGTGGAAGTTCGAAGATATTTTAATTTCTATGAGTTTAGAAGATTTATATGTAAATAGGGTTGTCATCTAAATATTTTTTAGTTTTTTAAATGCCGTCCGTAACAATACGGTTTTAATGCCTTTGTTAGATAACTATTGAAATTCATTGCTTTTACCATTATTAATTTGTCTGGTCGAGTTTGATAATTATAGAGTTGGCCCTGTGGCGGCTTATTGGAAATCCTATCGTTTTCGAAACATCGATATATATGTTGCAGTCAAAACTCATAATCGATCAAAACCACTTTTGACTGCAAATTTCAGTTAATAGTGGTTTTGACCGATGGCCTTAGTCAATATTACTTTTGACAAATTTTTCTAGTCGTATCATCGAACTTCCACGGGATAGGCAAGTAATATTTTCAGGTATTATAGATAATTATATCATGCATCAATATAAAGTAAGTCTAGCTGCCATTTTTCTAGGACAACAGAGAAAAAAATGTTTTCTGAAAATCATAAATTATTAAATAATTCCTAAATTACTGCAGCAATAACCATTTATTTTTACATAAAGGTAGACGTTATAGTGATAGGTAAATTTATTTACAAAATTCTGACTTAATGTAATTTTTTTAGAAAATATGCTTCTAAAACAGTTTTTTTTATAAAATCACAAAATCGAATATTTCTTCGAAACTAAACAAATACAACTACTAGTTCCTTCATCAATTGTATACATAATAGTAATATCTAACGATTGAATTAATAAAACAGGGACGTCCGCTTCTAAGGCAAAATAAAAGACTGTGCTGCGGGACAATAATGGCAAAACAGCTCAAGAAATTCGGTCGTAGTTTATGTTGTTCAGTACCTACATATTTTTATTAAAATTTCTTAGCGAATAGAGTCGCTTCTCAAACTAAATTTTAAATAAACAACTTGAAAAAATCGAAAATTCGCCTTAGGCAGTTTCGATTTTTTCAAATTATTTATTAAAAATTCAGTACATTATTTACTGATACCGATTTAAATTATAATAAAAAAAACCTTTTATACTGCATAAATAATCATAAAAAGAACAGAAAAATCATTCCACAAAAACAAAAGAAACATGCAAGTTAACTAATAATAATGTGGACTACTGCTTTAGCGCTCACCAGTTGGCGCCACTGTAGAGGAAGCTAATGTCACAGTGCAAAATTCTGGTAAAAAGTTATTCACTTTCGTGATCCGTTTGCACCATCAATCCCTTATTTTTAAGTGACCCAATGAAAACAAATTCCTGTTATGTTACCATAGGGGTCACTTAAAAATTAGGGATTGGTGGTGCATTAAAGACATTTCATATCATTTCAATCGAATCTTAAATTCGAACTCCTCCTTAATAAGTTCTTCTGATTAATTTCGTTGCAGGTCCAATGACAGTTTAATTTTCCACCCACACAAACCTTCACTGGTTGTGTTTTTATTGGCGGTCAAGCTGTAGACCCTGGCTACACAGGAGTTGCAGCGGTGGGAACGAGAGGTGGGAATAGTCCCATTTTTTTAGTTGGCGCCACCGAACGAGACTATTCCCACCTCTCGTTCCCACTACAACTCGCAACTCCTGTGTAGCCAGGATCTACAGCTTGACCGCCATAAAAACCCAACCAATGAAGGTCAAGTTTGTCCCGGGGGGAAGGTAAACTGTCACTGGACCCGCAACGAAACTAATCATTGGCGCCAACTAAAGTCTGTTCGCCGAGAGTTGATAAATATCATGAAATGTCTTGCAATAGCGACTGTCGCTTAATTATCGCATTCTGTATGGCGGGCGTCGTTTGTCACAACGCGCACTGAGTACCATGTTACGAGCCACGCAGCTGTCGTCAAGCGCCCCGGCCGGCGGGCCACAATGTGTGAAACGCAATGTGTGACACGGAATAGATTTATTTTACATGAGACCGAAATGAATGGTATGACAGTGGTAGGGCTTTGCCCAACATTGGAATACACTATAAGCCACTTGATAATAATGAAATACTTTTTATCCAACACATGGACGCCACATGTTTGATCCGTATCCCCACGTATGCCCTAACCGGAATAATTCCCGTAAATTTAAAAGAGATAATAATGATAATTTACCAACTTTTTCATTATATCGACAAAAATAATTAGCGGGCCGCAATTTATAATGAGTTTAGAACCTCTGATTTTTTTTTTTTATCAAAACTCGGCGAACAGACTTTAGTGGTCGAATGCTGTAGCCTGCAGTCCTCGTAGTTACGAAGCACCAACCTGCTGCGGCTCCGGCCTCGCGGGCTCCGGCGCCGGCGCCGGCTCCGCGCCCGCCTCCGAGCTGTCGCTGCCCTGTCCGGGTGTCCGGGGAGTGTCCGGCACGTGTCCGGGTACGGACGGGAGGTGGAGATGTAGGTTGGTTTATTCAGACGAGGTTTAGATATGAGATATTGGTTAGTGTCCGGTATACAGACGGAGAGAGATAAACGTTTAGATTGGTCCGTAAGATGGATAATGCATGTTTAGAAGTGTCCAGTATTCGGACAGTTTTGTAAAGTGACAGAAGTCAAGTATGGATATATTCATGAGTTTTTGGACAGCCAGTTAAAGTGACCGAGAAGAAAATAAATTTTTAAGGTAGGCTCAAAATAATGTCCGAAACCGGACAGTTATTTGATTCAAATTATCCACCATCAAATGAATGTTCAAAATTGTGGATGGTGAAAAATGGGATGAAATAAGGCGTTTCATAGAAGCGTCCGGGAGTCCATTGAGTATTACGGTGTCCGAGCGTCCAGGAGAGTTGGTGTCCGAAGTGTCCGGGCAACGATGTCCGGCGGAGTCGGCGAGCGGAGCGAGCGTTAGTGCACACATGGAAATGGGGTTAGCTCAGTTACACGACATGTATAAACATTATAGATATGAAGCCATGGAGCTTGTTTTATAATATTTTATGAACAACCTTCGATTTGGATTTGACAGGTTTTTTTAACAGTTTATTGAAAATTATTACAATGAGAATTAATGAAACAAACTCCAACGTCTATGTAATTTTGATAGATGTAATATTGAAAATGAGGTAAATAAGTATTCATTTTATTATTATTACGGAGTTACAGTAAAATAGGAGAGATCGGACACAACCACTGTGAGGTGATTTTGTAGGTTCTGTTTTTCAAAATCAACTGATCATACATTTTAAATAAACTAAAATAGTATAACCTTATGAGAAGTATGAGAACCGTCGTCTTTATGAGTAAGTTGAAGGAGTTACTTGTGAATAGTGTCCGATCCCCTATTGTTAAAATAATAATACACACAAGTCATGCTTGACGGATATTAATTAATACACTCCACATTTTGGCAAACCATGCTTTCATCACCTCCAATAATACCAATAAATTAATTTATATTATGATTTCTCATAAAAGTATCTTGATCAAAAGCTTCAAGAATAGATAATTTGACACCATTCCCCAATAATTTCAATTCATAACTTTTTTAAAGACTCATTCTGAGGGCCTAGTGTGAGTTTAAAACATAAAACGCGCTCAGCTCACTAGTGAGCGCGTTAAAAAATTGTATGAATATTTTAGTTCTTGATAGTTTCCGCTAGGGGCGCTGTACAATCCGTCATACATTTAATGACATTTTTTTACGCGCTCACTAGTGACGATGATTGCAAATATTTTCAAATCGCAAGACGTCCATCAGTCAAGCAATAACCGCACCTATAGCAGGGTACTCATCTAGCCGTGTAGCATGTAATGTATCAGATACTGTATCGAGTACATAGGCACGAGCCCGCTGCGAGCTGTTCGCGCGTGGTCCGCAGGGAGATCGCAGCGACTCGGTATCACTGCGAGCACAAAGGCGGCTGGCAGTAGGATCCAGGAGTTCGCATCTAGATACGGGATGACCGTGGACGAGCCGTACTCACTTGAAGGTTGGACACGTTACATGCTACGTTACGTGCCACATGGCAGGTGAGTACCCTGCCTATTCCAAGCACACAAGGCTCACATTCGCACCTGGTCGTGGCGGGGCGGCGCGCGGCACTCGTCGCGCTCGGGACTCGAGTCGCACGACCGCTGCCGCCGGTACTGCCCGTATGTCTCCTGCTGGGAACAAATGAAACCTCATTCAATCGTTTATTTATTAGCAAATTGAGTCGCTACTCAAACTAAAAGACAATGCCGGAAATTGGCGTCTTTTTTTTTTCGCGCGGCCATCGACCAAACTTTGTTTTTTATTACAAAATAGTGTAATAAACCAAACTTACTATGGCATGTATACCTCTAAACTCAATCTAAACTGAGTTACGAGCATTTGAAGTTTGATGATTTTCATATAGATGACCCACACTGAACTGTCCCGCCAAACTCAATGACAGGGGGGCGCTACCATCGTTCAACTATATGGTTTCCAACATGGCAAAAATCTGAACCAGCGATCCGGTATTGACGGTGGCGCCCCACTGTCAATGTCATCGACAGGACAGTCCAGTATTTTGGAACTATACAAGATTTGCTTTTCAACCGACTTCAAAAAAAAGGAGGAGGTTCTCAATTCGACCCGTATGTTTTTTTTTTTCTATGTTTGTTACGCGATAACTCCGCCAATTATGAACCGATTTGAACAAATCTTTTTTCGGCGTATAGGTAATACCTCAAGGGTGGTCCCATTTAAATTTAGTAATAGAAAAAACAACCCCCAAGGGTGGAAAATTGGGGATGAACTTTTTTATACGCAATATCTCCGCCGATTATAAATCAATTTGAACGATTATTTTTTTGTTGAATAGGTATTATCAAAAGGGTGGTTTCATGCGAATTTGAAGAAAATATTTCACCCCCAAGGGTGGAAAATTGGGGATGAACTTTTTTATACGCAATTTTTAGTTTTTTTTTGTGTTCACGCATTTGAAGTCGGTTTTATTTTTTTAAAAAGTTAATTATTGTGCGCAAGTTTTGTAAGAAATTGCAACAAAATATTGCGCTATTTTTTTATTGCGCTGATTCTGCTCCATACTGATGTCTGTAGCTTTTAATGGATGGTATTGTTTGTTTACACATACAATCTCACTATTTTGTTGCAATTTCTTACAAAATTTTTGCGCGCAAAAAGCAAATCTAGTATGAAAATCATCAAACTTCTACTTAATGCTCGTAACTCAGTTTAGACTGAGTTTAGAGGTATACATGCCATAGTAAGTTTGGTTTATTACACTATTTTGTAATAAAAAAACAAAGTTTGGTCGATGGCCGCGCGAAAAAAAAAGACGCCAATTTCCGGCATTGTCTTCTATCTATTATATAAAAGAAAGTCGTGTTAGTTACTCCACTTATAACTCAAGAACGGCTGAACCGATTTAGCTGAAAATTGTCAGAGAGATAGTTTAGAGCCAGGAGAAGGACATAGGATACTTTTTATCCCGTTATTTATTGCCATTAAGGCGGAACAAAGTTCGCGGGGTCAGCTAGTTTTAAATAAACAACTTGAAAAAATTTCAAGTTTATAAAGAGCTAGCGGCATCGCCCGCGTGGAATTTTGCCTGTCACAGAAAAACTTTATCGCGCGCGTCCCTGTTTTAAAAACCGGGATATAAACTATCCTATGTCCTTTCCCGGGACTCAAACTATCTCTATGCCAAATTTCATCAAAATCGGTTCAGTGGTTTAGGCGTGAAAGAGAGACAGAGAGACAGAGTTACTTTCGCATTTATAATATTAGGTAGTATAGATAGATAGTATAGATGTATAAAAAACGCGGCCATAACAGCGTATAACACTTGAAAATTTCGACAGGTACATCCAGTGTCTAAGTAGCTCAGTTGGAAGAGCAATCGCCCGGCAAGCGGAAGGTCGTGGGTTCGAGTCCCGCCTTAGGCAGTTCGATTTTTTCAAGTTGTTTATTTAAAAATAAAACCTATAAGGCATTTATTTATTAAAGCATTCATCATCATAATTTCAGCCACAGGACGTCCACTGCTGCACATAGGCCTCCCCCAATGATTTGAGAGGTTGGTAGCAACCTGCATCCAGCGCCTTCCTGCTACCTATATCCTCCTCGTGGGTAAACGTCCCACGCTGCGTTTTCCGGTACGTGATATCCACTCCAGGAACTTGCTGGCACATCGGCCGTCAGTTCTGCGTACTATGTACCCTGCCCATTGCCACTTCAGCTTGCTAATCCGTCGGGCTGTCATATAAAAATTGGTACATAAGGCAGGCAAAAACTTAATGCCATAAAGGCTCTGAACAGAGGTGGAATTGTGTAAAGCAATCGTAATCATTTGACAGTTCATAACGTACGATAAAGACAGTTAAACAAAGCGTTTGACAGAATAATCGTACGTTATGAACTGTCAAATGATAACGATTGCTTTACACAATTCCACCTCAGGTCTGTACAAGGTAGCTACAAAAAAACCGTGGACTGTATAGTATATACTATAACGCGTTGGATTTTCTGTAAGCCTTCAAGCAGCCTTCTAGAATAAATAAATAAATAAATAAATAACCCTATTGTGGCACTTTAAGACATATGTGACTTTAACAGGCTCTGCCAGTTGATTTTTGGGCTAAGCAAAGAAAAATCATTTGTTGGTGCTAGAAAGCAAAAGAAGAGCAACGAAGAATAAGAAATTAGAGCAGAATTATAGTAACCCTTCCCTTAACAGTTCCCTTTTAAGTACACGACCAGAGGCTTGTGTCAGTGTGTGCCTTAACACAAATACTATACGCCTTTAACTTGGACTTTCACAACGAAGACCATAGAATTTGCTTACCTGCTGTGGGTACCCTTCGTCGTCTGAGTCGGGTATGTGAACTCCGCGGCGCATCGCCTCTTGCACCTGGAACCAAGAGTATATGATATTTGAAAATTCAATTCTTAGCACGTTACGTTTTACGTTATTAAAAATCACGTCTCTACCAAAATCTAGCGTTACCGCCTTTTTGGACAATGTAGCAGCAGGCTCTAAAAATAAATGCATTGTAGAGAACTTCATCTGGTAGGAGAGATGAATCATCATTTCACATCAAAAAGGGAACATTATCTCCAAGGCTTTCTTAAACACTTAGGACGGCTCGAGACGTCCTCGCTGGATTCTACACTAAATACAAAGGTACACTTACTTCTTCTGGGTGGACGGGAACATTGTCAAGCTTCTCGAGATTCGGGAGATTCCTAAGGACTGTCATTCTGTATCTGAAATGAGAAGGAAAAAAAACACATTTTATAATGACGGCATATACAATGAGATCTTTTATAACAAGTCTTCTACAAGGGGTTATCGAAGCGAGAAGTGAGGAGAGATGATAAAATTAGTTACAGATTTTTAACACTATAAATCAACAGCGTGGGAAACGCTACCAGCAGTCATCTTAGTCCTCAGGCCCGCGATGGTCTTTGGGTTCGTTTATTTACAGGTCTTCATCAATGATATCGGACACTCAATGGTGCTCTTTTGCTCCAGTTACTTGGCACCGTGAAGGAATTAAATTTTCGGACAAAGTTTCCTTATCTAGAGAGGCTGAGTTGGGTGTTAGATAGCTACGACCGGGTACTCGCGACACCTCCACTCGGGCGATGACAGTACGCCGCGGAAATCTTCCTTTTCAGGGCGCCGGGAGACCCACACACCATCCTGTCCCTCGGCAGTGATGACGATGCGCAAACCATTTCCTCCAATAAATTAAAAGTACCAAATACCTATTCCGTCTTAATTTAATCCATCTTCAGACTGCGCAGCAACGAGCGGCTTATAAAATGTGGCGGCTTCCAGACACCGGTGGCTGTCGCTCTCTTCTGACACTCTAATAAATGTGGCAGTAGCGCGCGGCAGTCACCGTTGGCTGTGGTCAGTAGCCCATTTGCGCCGAGCCTTAATTGAAAGCGCCCTAGGGCTGTCTATTACTCACTCCGGGTGCGTGGTGCAGGGGTTTTCGTCGAGCCACAGGCTGGTGAGCGCGGGCAGGCGGCGCAGGCGGCGGATCTCGCGAGCTTCTGAGACGCTACTCACTCCGGGTGCGTGGTGGAGGGGTTTCTCGTCGAGCCACAGGCTGGTGAGCGCGGGCAGGCGGCGCAGGCGGCGGATCTCGCGAGCTTCTGAGACGCTACTCACTCCGGGTGCGTGGTGCAGGGGTTCTCGTCGAGCCACAGGCTGGTGAGCGCGGGCAGGCGGCGCAGGCGGCGGATCTCGCGAGCTACTGAGACGCTACTCACTCCGGGTGCGTGGTGCAGGGGTTCTCGTCGAGCCACAGGCTGGTGAGCGCGGGCAGGCGGCGCAGGCGGCGGATCTCGCGAGCTACTGAGACGCTACTCACTCCGGGTGCGTGGTGCAGGGGTTCTCGTCGAGCCACAGGCTGGTGAGCGCGGGCAGGCGGCGCAGGTGGCGGATCTCGCCGAGGTCGCGGATCTCGTTCTTGCGCACGTAGAGCTCTCGCAGCCGCCGGCAGCCCGCGAAGTCGCCCAGCGTGCGGATCTTGTTTATGCTGCGGGTAGAAGAATAAGGTTGTGTTAGTACGCCTTCTGTCTGTCATATGAGTTGACTTGGCTCAATCAGTCTAAGACACGGATCACAATAGATCGTTACCGGTCACAGTGATATTAAGACTTTATAGAACTAGAAAAGCCGATCAATAAAAAAAGGCACGGAAAATATTTCATTATGATTAATTTTAGTCTGCAATGTGGTCATTGCTTGTTCGCTTTGTGTTTATACCCAGTTTGAACTGGTGGTGGTTATCTCTTTACTAGCCACCCCTTGGGTGACTTATAAAAGGGCCGATAAATAAGCGAAACAGGTCTTCCTAGTTAAATTAAACATAATCGCATAAAAGTTTGACATGCACTGCAGCGGCACCTGTCATATTGCTAGTGATGGACGTATACTGATTGTCGATCGATGTTGACAAAGAAGTAGTTCCGCTACTTTTTCTCAGCACCAGCTACCAAGCTGTATTTGGGATGTGTATGTAATTGTATGAGAGCCCTGGAAAGAGCCTAAGTACTAAATAAAATCTTTGACTCTGACTTTGTTATATTGAAGTCGTATTAAAGTATGTTTATATCCATTGTCTAGTACCCATAGTAAAACTATGCTTAGTTTGGGACTAGAGGCGTAGTGTAAAATATCCAAAGATATTTATTTATTTTATTTAATGAAACATGGAACAGTTCACGAGCTCGCAATTTAGCCAGCAATTAGAAATCATCGGTCAGTCGGCGCGTCCGATTGGGCAAGCGCGCGCGCCGGCCGGCGTTGGGCAAGCGCACGCTCTGATTGGTCGCGGCCTTGCCACTGCCCGCTGCGGAAGTGCTAGTAGTGATGTGCGTATCGACTTACTTAAAAAACTGTATAGTTTTTTTTACAGAACACGCCACTCGAGACCACCACTAGGTGGACCGACGATTTGGTGAAGAGAAGCAACTGGTTGCGGGCAGTGCAGGACCGGTCGTTATAGAAATCCTTGGGGAAGGCCTTTGTCCAGCCAGCAGTGGGCGTCATTTGGCTGAAACGAAACTTAGTAAATGTCCTGATTGTCCTGTGAGTCCTGTTTCAAATCAAATCAAAAATATTTTGACCAGTATTTTGGCACATATTTCATTTTTTAATATCATGTGTTATTGTCAATATGGATGCGGGCAGCGCAGGACCGTTCATTGTGGAAAACCTTGGAGGAGGCCTTTGTCCAGCAGTGGACGTCATTCGGCTGAAACGAACGAACGAACGATTGTCAATATAAGCGCCAAGGCATTGAATATGGTTTATTTTGAGTGCAGTACAATCACAGCAATGGGAACCTTACACTAGTATTATCGATATCAACATTCGAACGTCACTAGCCTGTAAAAGACACCGGCAATTGTTTTAAGACAATGAATTGTTTTCCGAGCCATTTCCTGATCCAAGGCTCTCTATTCCCAGTGGCGTAGAGGCGTCCATTCCGCTGGCTCGCGTCAAGTGGTTGATGATAACGTTGAACCCGATCAGCTTTCGTGGGCGTGTGTCAACTCAGTGACAAGTTCAAGCAACTGGGTTCGTGTGAGCGGATGATTGTAGCAATGAGGGTTTTTGCGAATGAAAAATCCGCCAGATGGCAATACGTAGACGCGAGGTCCAAATGCTGCATGATTGGTTATTTTTGACATGACATTGACAGATATGTCAAAATCCACCAATCACGCAGCAATCAGACCCCACATCCACGTCCCGCCATCTAGCGGATCTTTCATTCGCAAAAACCCTCGTTCCGTACCAATAAGGAAGAAGAAGGTGTATCTCCTTAAATTATGCCCTCATTTCACCTCGGGAGACGGACTATAGACGAAAAATTCTTCATAAAAGTTCATATTGTGTGACCTTCAATTGTTAAATGCGTGACAATATTAAAAAGAACATAGGATAGTTTTTATCCCGGTTTTTGAAACAGGGACGCGCGCGATAAAGTTTTTCTGTGACAGACAAAATTCCACGCGGGCGAAGCCGCGGGCGGAAAGCTAGTCCTAAATATAAGGATACCAACCCTATTTTATAGTTGGTTAATTTTTACTAAGACAATTCGGAAAATAAATATGTTTTTGTAACACAGTGGACACATGGACGCCTGAAAACTGGAGATGTGGTAAGATTGATGTCAGAATCAGAATCATCATTTATTTGCTTTAAATGTGGTAATGTCTTGTTTGTATTTGTTGTATCTGGTAATTAAAATGAAAGAGAGGCTGACAAGGGTGACTGAGTGTCTTTCTTCTGCCACTTCTTCTCAGCACCAACCCATTTCCCGTAGTGGTGGTAGGGCAAGCTATTTGGGACGTGTATAATTGCCCTGGAAAGGGTCTAAGTAGTGAATATTGACTTGATTTAAATAAATAAAGAAAGAGATCACAAACCAGCAAAATAGGCTAGTTGCCTAAAAAAATTTTTTTAGTCCGTAATGTTTAATATCAAAAAATATTGGACACGTATATTTTTATTTGTCAATCTAACAAATAATTACATAGTTATGGTGCGTTGAAGTTGCGCACGACGTCACAACGTGCGGCATTTTTAAGCAAGCGTTGACGTCACGGGCCTCTTATGAACTTTGGGGCGCTTTATCTCTTTAAATTTTCATTAGTTTGAAAAAGTGAAAAATACGTGTAGAGTATTTTTTGATAAGTTAACTGACGGACTAATTAAAACTCTTGCTTTTTGACCCAGGCAACATCCCCATTGTTACCACACAAAAAAAATATTTGCCAACAGAATTTGTGCTTTAAAAATAAAAATAAAATGGAAATGAAAACTGCAAGGAAGCGTCAGCGATGTGTAAAGTAATTAGAGCGATAATTATTTAATTATTTATTATCCATTACGTTTTGCACCTTGGGCGGTAACCTGACCGGTTACCCAATCGCCGCGATCACCTTGCGGGCAGTCAGCCGTGTGGATGGTGGTGGAAACTGGGGACTGCCTGCGAGGCCGCGGAAACGTGAGCTTGGCTCTATGCTTCAGGGAGTCCCAGTGAGCCTCTTGCTTGATATACGATATCTAAAACGGTTTTTGTGTTTACTGATTTTTACATAGCATGTTCTTGTAATTAGGCTTTTAAAAATACGCTTTTACATTGCAACTCAGCCAGTGCTCTGGGACAATAATGTGAGCCAGTGCTGAAATAAGAACAAGAAGATCAGTCATTGCCGTTGAGTAGGTACTTCTTAAAGTACAGATTCAAATTGAATGTAATTTCCGTTCCCTAGTTAATTTAAAACACCTGAAATACTACACAATATTAACTTAGAAATTGTAAATTGTAAATTGTTTGTATTGGGCTGGGTGTTTTCTATGTATAATAAGTATGCATTTACAAAAAAAAAAAGTATTTATATCCGTTGTCTAGTACCCATAGTACAAGCTTTGCTTAGTTTGGGACTAGAAGCGCAGTGTAAAATGTCCAAGGATATTTATTTATTTATTATTATTTACTAGCCGCCGCCCGCGACTTCGTATGCCTAGATACCGTTTTACCCCAAACATCTATCTTACGCGGTTTAGATTTTTCATACAAAAGGATTTTCCCGCTAATTCCCGTTGCCGTGGGAATTTCGGGAATTCCTTTCTTAGTGCACCTCTACGGTACCTAAGCTACGTCCCTTCCAAATTTCAAGTGCCTACGTTTAGCCGTTTAGGCTGTGCGTTGATCTGTCACTAAGTCAGTCAGTTTCTGCTTTTATATATTTAGATTTAGATAAGATAATATTAGAAAAGGTTAAGGCTGGGTTGCACCATCTTACTTTAACTTTGACAAACGTCAATAATCTGTCAAATTCTCTACAAAAAACACCGGTTACCGTCATAGTTACGGTCAAAGTTAGGTGGTGCAACTCAGCCTTAATATCACTTCCCGACAATATCAATGTTATATATCAAACTAGCTTTCCGCCCGCGGCTTCGCCCGCGTGGATTTTTGTCTGTCACAGAAAAACTTTATCGCGCGCGTCCCTGTTTCAAAAACCGGGATAAAAACTATCCTATGTTCTTTCCCGGGACTCAAACTATCTCTATGCCAAATTTTATCAAAATCGGTTGCGAGGTTTAAGCGGGAAAGCGTAACAGACAGACAGACAGACAGACAGACAGACAGACAGACAGACAGACAGAGTTACTTTCGCATTTATAATATTATATAGTTGGGATTGGGATAACAATAATTTTAAAATTACCGGTAAGATTGTCTCTACAATGTACAATAAACGAGATTTTTTCAGTCGCTCATCATTTGAAACAACAGTCATTAGATGTGATGTGATGTGACTCAGTACTGCAACCACAAAAACAGCCCGTGACCTTTTAACGGCCCAAACGCTGCAGGTTTGTCGTTACCAGAATCGCATCGCATGCAGGTAATGCCACATCGTCGACATACATCGCATTCGTGACCGTAGAGCCGTTGGAATATGGTTCAAAATTCTTATGTTACAGTTCAAATGGAGGTAGTTGGTAGTTTTGCTGATGGTTCGAAAATTACAGTTCAATTGAGAGTTAAAGATAAGATCTAATTCAGTTGACCTAATTTTGGTGATCGGGTGATAGCACAGAGCGATTCCATGATCTGTGGGTGATAGTGTTTTTGTCCCTAGTGGGGGAAAAGAAAAGAAAAATTTGATGCGGTTGAAAAAAATTGAGAAGCTACGAACATTAATAAATTGTTTCCTCAAGAACTTATTGTTTCCTAACTTGTAAAGAAACAGTGAGTACAACAGTCAATCTGGGTATCAAAAAGTCTACAAACATACTACATCAACTATTTGGAGACAACTTAGGGACATAAAGAACAAGTAAAATCTGAAATCTGTAAAAAAGAATATAATATTTAAATGTTACAGACCCTCGTGTAGAACTGAGTCAAAGGTTCGAGGAAACAATTTTGAACTGAAATGAAAAGAACAAAACGATAGAAGTTCTTTGAAAGAACTTAAAAATAGATCGCATGTGTCATACTTAAACGCGACGAGTCTTTGTTTGAAGAACGGCACCTGTTACTTTGTCATGAACAAAGTAACAGTTCAATTAAATTACATTTGAAACCTAAATACTTATTTGATTCGTTATTATTATAAACCTTGCGCCACGGTCAAAAAATTATCATCGGAATAATCATTATCATTTCAGTCAAAGGATGTCCACTGCAGAACATAGAAAAGCCTCCCTAATGCTTTCCAGATTGGCTGAAAAAAGTTTGAACTCTTTTGCAACAAATTCTGTATGATGGTTAATCATCATGTGAATGATTGTTTCTCTACAAACTATCCTTATCCAAGTTCCATCTATCGCCATGTCAAAATTCTTCAAAATTTCTTCAGCTATGTAGTCATGAAAACGTGACAGCTAAAATAGCTTAGATACGCATTTTTTACCAGACGCTTGAAGCTAAGGGTGTTTAAACGGATATAGTAGTGTGTAAACTGCTCGACAAACACCACTAAATTATCATAAATGGTTTCGAAAAACCAGCCAAATAAATGGTCTCAAAAAACCAGTCTAATAGCCTAACATGAAGAAGCAACAGCCAAACATTGAACAGCCTCCCCCGGCTAGACAGTTTAATTCCGTTCTAACTCGATAAGGCACTAAAGGGCTCCGAAGCCAACGCTCCTGCAGTCTGGACGGTTCACGACCTCTAAGACTGCAGATGGAAATGCGATCCTTGTGCTGCCAGACGGCTGTGCAATGACCCTGTTAAGGATACTAGAGATACAGGTGTGTTTAGAATGCCGGTAATGGTGCTTACAGGAGTATTTGTTTCAGCAATCATTGCTAGGCAACGTGTAAGTTGAACAATTGCAATAAATTGAGCTATTGTATTTGCTTCATATTGCTGATTGCCATAACGTGAGCCGGATTAAAACCAGAATTATTTATTTGCCAAAACTATGTTTTACATAAAATTATATGATTAATGAGGTAAGTTGAACAATTGCAATAAATTATAACTATTGCATTTTTTTCATATTGCTAATTGCCATAACGTGAATCGGATTAAAATCAGAAATATTTATTAACCAAAACTATATTTTACAAAACAATATAGGTATGATTAATGAATATCCTCCCCTTCTTCCTTCTGGACTCTGGTCAGAGTGGGTAGCGTTGGCTAAATCCGCCATTTGGTGAATTAGAGAGTCGTCGTGCTCCTGCAGTGAAGAGTGGAGACTAAGTGATGATATGGTTCAAAATCTGTAATCCCAGTGGGTTGATTCAAGACCCGACTGAGTCTATTCAGAACCAAACAATCAATTTAAACGCTTCGGCAAAATCGCAATCAACACTGTTCTTCTTCGAGAACACCGCTGTTACAATTTCATTAGCAACGTCTTCAATAATGAAACTCAATGCGCTTCCCCAACGCACGGGTGTTGCGTTCGTTCGATTCGGCCGTAATTGCAACAAGCGCGCCCGCGGCGATCGGCCGGCGTCAATCAACGCGTGCGCAGGGCTGTCGACGTCATCATCACCAGGTCATTTAGACTCTACTGCAGGAGCACGGCCGTTAAAACCAAAGGCAAGTGGTGGCAGAACTGACGGCCGCAAGGTTGTGGAGTGGAGCCCGCGTACCGGAAATCGCAGCGTGAGACGTCCACCTACAAGGTGGACCGACGACATCATAAAGGTAGCGGGAAGGCGCTGGACGCAGGCCGCTACTAATCGGGAAACATGGAAAGCATTGGGGGACGCCTATGTTCTGCAGTGGACGTCCTATGGCTTAGATGATGATGATGAAGTGGTGGCTTAAGATAATATGGAAGTCATTGGGGGAGGCCTATGTTCAAGAAGAATGAAGAAGAAGAAGACATTGTAGAATGATAATGATAATGAGGATGAAATGGTGGCTTACACCCTTCACAATGGCCAAAAGGGTTAGGGTCTTAAGGAGGCCTAAAATTCGCATACTTTTCCCTTATTCGCCTTTTACGACATCCACGGGAAGAGTTCCGAATGTTCGGGAAATAGTAATATCTTTCTGGTGTCATATTTTATGAGCTGCATATTCATTACATTATGGCTCTATCAAACTGGTGATTAGCGATAAGAGCAATAAATCTTGTTTCTTAATCAGTAGGATTCTCTTTAATTTATTTATAGCTTTCCGCCCGCGGCATCGCCCGCGTGGTATTTTGTCTGTCACAGAAAAATTTTATCGCAGCGTCCCTGTTTCAAAAACCGGGATAAAAACTATCCTATGTCCTTTCCCGGGACTCAAGCTATCTCTATACCAAATTTCATCAGAATTGGTTCAGTGGTTTAGGCGTGAAAGCAAGACAGACAGACAGAGTTACTTTCGCATTTATAATATTAGTATAGAAGTATAGATATGTGGAACTCTACATATAACAAATAGACTTTTTATTTTATTATCATGGTTTTCCAGTAGATGGCAGCCCTAAACCGGGCGGCAATTAGAGCGGGCGCGATTCCGTGCGTGTACGCACCGCATGTCACGCCGCGCGCGCACACGACATTGTCTACCAAGTACCAGTTACTAGCGCGTGCGAGATGAAAAACTCCAAAGGAAATAAACCATTTCAACTGTCATTTACCTACGAGTTGCAATTTTTTTCCTTTTTGCATAATTGACAAGTAATGGTGACTGATTTGAGTAATTTTGTTCCGTCGCCTTTTTCAGTAGTTGCCTGGTAGGTTCCAAAAGATAAGATAAGAAACACTTTATTTGACACAAAAAGAAAAGCAAAAAAGAACAAGTGCCACTTGTGGTCTAAACTGAATAAATATTTTTGATTTTGATATTATTATCAAGCACATAAATAGATTTTGATTTGATTTTATAAGTAGGAAATTATCCATACTTACATATTACTTATAGCAAACTGCTTTATTTTGTGTCATTTTTTTTACTTCACTCATTCATTCACTCTTTTAAGGCAGATCTCTACAGTTCTGATTAATGAATGTTATTGTCCAATCGGATTTACCTACGTGTTTTAATATAGTCACCTAAAATTTCAATATAACCCCAGCTGATTTAGTTCCTCACTGTTTTACGAAAGGATAAGCCGTTCGGCCCAATTTTCATTAATTACGCAGGAAAATGTATAATCACGCTTTATTTGGGTCAGTAATAAAATCAAAGGGTTTAATCCTTCGGCCGGATATTATCAGTAATCGATAGCTTTACAGCCGTCCATATCGTAAATTAATCCACGTTTATTTACTTCCAATAGTTTACAATACGTCAAAATACAGGGTGGCCCATTGATGTGCGAACAACAAAAGGATTGATTCCACTGATCAAATACATCAATTTTTCCTTAGAGATACCTAGTTGAAATCTTCTAAATAAATGACCTTTTCATCCAATTTTTTGTTATCCACAACGAGGAAGCTCTTGGCCTGCATCTCATATTCTCATCTGATGGAAAGTGATGATCAGGCCGAAGCTGGAATCCTCAACCACAGAGGATTTGGCTATCATACATTAATTAAATAATCATCCATCAGTAGTCACTAGTCAGGCAATTAGTATGGGGGCGTAATTTTTTTTAAGAACTTGTATATTGTGCCTCTACGAAAGTTGTAGCATTTGAGCAGTACTACCTATTTGATCACCCACCAATGGGTCACCCTGTATATCCGACCCGTCCCCTTCCCATCGACCCACCTGTGACCCGAATACGGCTTTTCATAAAGGCTCGCTCCCCTGATTTTCGGTCAAAAAACAATAAACATTACACATCCTTATGCCCACGCAGGAAGGTTCAATTTTATATTTTTTACAAACAATATCGTCGTCATAGAATAGGCTATAATTTGGACGAATGAAATGGAAACACCAATTTGTCGTAGAAACAAACTTGCATTCAGGTCAGTGGCTTTTCTATTGGTCAAGTCAAGAAACATTCAATCTTTAGTTAGTGACTCCGTGACTCTAGATTAAAAAGTTTTGCACTATTAAAACTGATTTTGAGGTTGAAAAATATGGCACTTATAGGAAATGTTATGTTTTCTGACATTTGTTAGATTATGTACTCTGTTGACCCATTAGAGTATCATAAACCACAAACCTATTGTTTGTTGCTCTAGGGTTCTTTCAAATGAGACTTTTTGAGCAAGACGTCCAAGACAAGTGTTAGTCATTCTTATTTTTATTCTAACAGTTGGCCTACAATTTTCCGTGTGCGGTCCTGCAAACAAATGATTAACGTCCGACTTAAAAAGTCTTGACAATAACCCTTAATCCATTTTCAATTACGCTGGATGTGTCTACTAATTAATATTGTTCTACAAGTCGATTGTTGTTAGTCTGCTCGTGCAGCTATGCTCATCTTCAAGTCTCACCTGAGAGCCAGTACTTCGACGTTGGGCATCCGCCGCAGAAGGCTGACGTCACCGAGCTCTGCACCCCTGTAACAATAAACAACATACATTTATCATCATGTACTCCTCCGAAATCTTGTTGGCGAGCTGTCAAGGGCTGTAAGTCACACCACACCACAGAGTCACACTACACTGTAACCTGTAAAATTGGACTCTTGATCTGGGGATCTCGATCCCCAAATGGAAAACACAAATTGACAATTTCCTCGCATAATTGTTTCTAGTTTGGCTAGGGGATTGGAGACTTGAATCGACGTATAGCCAGAAACAATTATTATGATTCTGTATTCCAGAGATCACGTCAAAAAGTCGTTACGATTGAGTTATTAGTAGGTCATAAAGTCTACCACTAGAGATTATAAAGATCTTCTACGTTTAGTTTACTTTATCATGCAATAAAGTTACAAAAGTAAATTAATAGACGAGGGATGTTTGCGCGTGAGTTTCCTCTCTTGGCTGGGTAAACGGCCTTAGCAACAATGGAAAATGTCAATCAGACAATGAAATAGGTACTACGACCTACTGACATTCACAATGAATTACTAGCATCTTGCGATGTACATTTTATGTCTTTAACTTCAAATGAAATATTGTTGAGTGATTTTAAGCAGTGTTCAGAATTTCAGATAGAGATTCAAGCATTGTGTATAACGAAATTGACTAATTTACTAGCATTCATTAGAGCTGAATGTCACAAATCTTTGTAATTGTATTTGCAACGTTATTGCTCGTACATGACGTGTCATTTAACCAACCGACGACAGTTCTGAAGCTAAACGCAAAAATTAATAGCTTGTTAAATACGTTAGCAGCCAATCGCCGCTGTGATTGGCGTTATTGTTTGTATTATTTATTTGTTTAACCGAACTTTATGAAACCAATTACACTATTCAAACATCAACATTAACATAACAAACAACGATGATAATTTGAAACAATAATTACAAACGCAACAGTCGCAAGTTACTTTCACAAGTATACTGGCATAGCTGTTCTTTCTAAGAATCTGAAAATATATTACGTTATACAGAAGCAGACGCATTTATATGATCGCAATCTCAATCAATTGAGGTTGAAAATAATGTCTAATCACCTATAAGGCTGCCACAGAATACCAGCGTTGATGCCAGGCAGCCATATGATGAGTGACTGCCATTTTGGTTCAAAATTAAACAAATTATGGACACTGATCTCTGTTGTAAGGATTAGGGACTATTTTTTTTTTCTTTCTTTCTTTTCTTTCAATCATAACTGACTTAAAGTGTATTTAGCTAAATGTAGCTAATTCGGAAACAACTCTATCATCTATGTAGATATAGTAGAGATATGAGTATGAAAACTATGGCCACCTCTTCCATCAATGCAAGTACTGCAACTCCTGTGCTGTCAGGATCTACAGTTTGGCCGTCAATAAAACCCAACCAGTTAGCCTAGTGTAGCATCTACAACCGACATGAACGCATCAAGTGCAAAATTACTAAGAAGAAGAAGCAGAAGTTATCCAAGTTAGTCATGAAGTGTAAGTTCTTCAGCATAGGACCCTCAACGAAATGATTCAGAAGTAAACATGGATCTTATTTTATCTTGAAAATCCTTAGAATATCTAAGTTACCCAAATGTTTAGGATTTATACAAATAAGAAAGAAAAGAGAATTGTTCAGTTATTTTGGTAGCCATTTTGGCAAATGGCTCACAATCAATCTTGGGCTTCTGCGAATATCCAATCCCACCAAAAACATTCTGTAAAAAACTAGCCAAGTCTCGATGGAGCTGCTTGTTTATCTCTAAAAAGTAATGAAATCTAGACAAAGTCGTGCCAAGTCTATGGTTCCTTACTGCGATTTCTTTATTATTATAGTTAATGTTGTGTGACTTGGCCGTTGAAGGGTGACAAAACCAGGTGCTCCATAACACCATTGCACCAATCTGTCGCCAGAACCGCTACCCATTGACGATGGAAAATTGCCACTTGGAAAACGTTGATTCAACAATAACCAGTCAATTGTAGGTTTAATAAAGCTGCGTATTTCAATAATACTTATGTATGATTATCATAATAAAGATTGTTCAACGGCCAAGTCACACAACATTAACTATAATAATAAAGAAATCGCAGTAAGGAACCATAGACTTGGCACGACTTTGTCTAGATTTCATTACTTTTTAGAGATAAACAAGCAGCTCCATCGAGACTTGGCTAGTTTTTTACAGAATGTTTTTGGTGGGATTGGATATTCGCAGAAGCCCAAGATTGATTGTGAGCCATTTGCCAAAATGGCTACCAAAATAACTGAACAATTCTCTTTTCTTTCTTATTTGTATAAATCCTAAACATTTGGGTAACTTAGATATTCTAAGGATTTTCAAGATAAAATAAGATCCATGTTTACTTCTNTACAATATAATAAACGAAATCAACGAAATGCAAATTACACAACATTCAACTTAATCGACGGGGGGCTCTAGAAAGGAAAAAAATCTGGACACCGCTTGCTAGTGCTAGCGCCATCTAGCGGTGAGCGATACAGGCGAATACCACGGTGCCGGAGTAGTATTGATTATGAATGTGGTGTTACTCCAGATCTTCGATTTTTCTAGTTTTTATAGTTTTCCCTTTATGTGGCTATTAAACCCTAACTCTGTACCAAATTTCAGCTCTCTGAGTTTATGGGAAGTACTAGTTCTATTTTGATGATCATCAGTGAGTGAGTGAGTGTCGTAAATGCGAAACTTTGCTTTCGCTTAACTTCGGAACTAAATGACCTACAGACTTGAAATTTTGGATTTTAAGTATGTGATTATAGCTTACTAGATGACGAAAATTTCTGCGTTCTGGTCTTATCCAGAAGTTCTCAAATAGGGGCCTGAAAATGCGGCGAAATGGTTCCAGTAAAGGATGGTACGGCAGTGTTTGCTTCGCGCTCGACTTGGCGGGGGCACTGCCGTGCCCCCAGATTCCAGCTCTATCATGTTGAGATCGTATTTCAAGTTTCATGTATCGTGACTTGAATGGGTCTTCTTGCCATCCTTGGCGCTCGTCCAATAGCGGGGTTGTTAACTCTACTTTTTCGTAACTCCCCAAAATTGCAATTTTACCCTTCATTTTCAAATAATCTTACATGGCTCGTACTTCTTTCACGAAAATGTCTCTTACTTATAATTTATGTTATTTAACTTTTGCTTCTAAACATTTTTACATTTCCCTACATCTTTAGTTCTTTACCAGCATTCTGAAACAAATACCTGCTTTTCTTTTCTTTTTTTATGCATAACAAGGCAGGTATTTGACCACAATCGCTCCTGAAGTTAAGCGGGATGCAGTCTAGGATGGTACATATCTGCCCTGTAAGTGCCTATTCACTCTCGCCTTGAAAAGGCCCGGAGTGTTAAGAAGAAACGATGTACCATCATGAACTACTTTTCCACCAAGAAATTTTAAGGATAAGACTTTCTGATAGTTGGGCTCGCAGAAGTTCCCCTAAAAGCAAGTTTTCCCCAAATTCACGTAAATACCCTTAACCAGGCAACTCTACTTGCAATGCCGAATATTATCTTGCCCAGGTTAATGATCTGGAACTAGAACTCCACGGGTAATCCGAATGGAATATTAATACTGGCAATTTGGCGACCTAGGTCTGCCGGAAATATTGTATTTAAGCATGAAGTTTACTGTAATGAACAAAGATTAAAAGTATCTACTTTCAAAGTAGATAAAACATTTCATGATTTGCAAATCTCACACACTCAAATGCTCGTTATTGAACGCGCCCTCGTATGTCTTTGACTAGCATTTATTATGTTTGTCAATTCATTCTCCCAAAGAAACTTTAGCGGCTATTCGACACTAATTCACAATTCCGAAGCAGTGGTAGGGTTAATATTGGGACGTGTAAAAGCGCTTTTTTAAAGCCTATTTGCAAAAATAAATGAATTTTATGAATTTTAATTTAATCATTTAATGACAAAATCTGGGGGCACGGCAGTGCCCCCACCAAGTCGAGCAAAAAAGCGGCACGGCCGTACCATCCTTTTCTCGAAGCAATTCAGGCCATTTTCGACTGCCTGTAACTTCGTTGTGGATAAAACTAGAAGGCTGAATTTTCATTAGCTATGCAGGCATTGTAAAGACACGGTATGTTTAAAATTTCATTCAATTTGAACCAGCAGTTTAAGAATTATAACGGGTCAAAGTTACTTAATTTTGTCACTCACTGACTCACTGACTCACTGACTCACCGATCATCAAAACTCTAAGGCACTTCTAGCAGACCTAGAAGCTTCAAATTTGGAATATAAGTAGTGTTTGGTGTATGAATCAAGGAAAAACTAAAATATTTGGGGGCACGGTAGTGCAACCGCCAAGTCGAGTAAAATTTTTCAATTTCGGTCCAGTTTTCTAGATACATAACTGCTGTCTACAAAAATGCGATGGCCAAGTCAATATATTTATGTAAAACGTTAAAGATTTCCTGGCCTGGACTTGGTATTACATGGATCTCACAACTTTTTACCGTAGAACAACTGAGTTGCGAGACTTGGTTTTTTTGACAAGTATTGTTTTTGAAGGGATAATCTATTTTTTTACATAAAATGCGTCAGTCCTCCAATCAACAGTCTTGACAGTTTCATGCAAGAAACTGACGTTATTCCTGTCTCCGTATTCTAGATAAACAATGACTAAGCTAGGAAGATCTAGATCACCTACATTTCAATAATACACACGTTAAAGAGAAACGGGTTTCAAGAAATTTAAATTTAAAAACCGGCCAAGTGCGAGTCGGGCTCGCGCACAAAGGGTTCCGTAGCAGCAACAGTTAAATCAACCTATCTCAAAAACTATAAGAGATACTTTGATCAAACCAAAAATCGTTGAAAGAGTTAATTAGCATGCATCACCTCTATTTTTTTTAGAATTTTATACCCCGTAGTTATAAAAATAGAGGGGGGGGGACATACTTTTTACGACTTTGAGAGCTGATATCTCAAAAACCGTTCACTTTAAGAAAAATGTTTTTTAGAAAACTTTA